TGAGGTGGTGGACGAAGGACAACTGTCGCTGACACTCGGCCCGCTTCCGTTGCTACCGCCGCTGCCGCCGCTTCCGGCCGAGGTGCTGGAGGCGCGAGCTGCCTCCTCGGATTCGAAGCCCGAGTCGTCGCAGCTGTTCTCGCTGTTCCAGTCGACCACCATGACGTTACCTGCGACGGAGGGAGAGGCGGCGACACGGTCGCCGAAACTGCGGACCAGCTTCGCTGTCGGAACGAATACATCTGCTAGTTCCGGCGAACGTTTCTTGGGAGTGGACGGTGGCGAGGCGTTGGCGATTCGGAGCACACGCGACGGCGACGGCTTCGGAGTCTCAAGATGGACCGACGACGAGGCGATGGCCAAGATGTTCGGCGAGCAGCTCATCACCATTTAAAACACACGCACCGTCGACGACGACGAACAAAAGTCGATGACGACTTCATACCATGCCAATGCCACCAGGGGTCAGGGGTCAGCGGTCAGCGGTCACATACGCACTTCCTCGGCTCGTAACTCGTAACTTCCGCTGGTCACCTGAACAAAAAAACTACATGAAAAATGAAATGAAAATAACTTCTCACTCTCCTCTCGTCTGAGACAGAGGCAGGTCTAGCAACCGACACACATCAATGCAACGAACAACGACGACGACGACGACGATGACAGCCACCCGGCAGCAAACCATCCGACTCGCCGAAGATCAACACCGACAGGCGCCAGTCACCATCGTCGTTGCCGTCTGTCTGTAACGAACGAACGAACGACCCGACCGACCGACCGACCACCACTGACCTGGCATAAAACAAGCAAGCAAGCAGAACGCCCCGAACCGTGGACCAGATCAGACCGCACCGGACCGGGCCGGAAGGACACGTGCCTGCAAGCCCTTCGGTAAACTGATACCAACGACGTAGACGCGCATGGCTAATTACTCAAACGTACATAAAAACGTTAATCAAATTCTTCGACCGTAAGCCGTTTTTACAACGTTGTATAGGACCATCGATTATGCACGTATTTACGCGCGCGCGTGGA